TAGCACTTTTAGCCTCTACAGGGACAAATTATGACACTTGGCCAACAGGAAGACATGTGAACTGAAGTTCTTATTAAAAACAAAACAAACAAACAGAGCAAGCCCCACAAAACTGTGTCCTCTCAGTAAATGAGGCTGTAGCAGCAGGAAAGCAGAGGACTGCAGCGTGGTGAGCCCAGGTCTCCCCAGGACTTGGGAGGCAGAGGGAACTCTGAGATGTCTATGAAGAAAAAGCAAAATTAGACTCTTGACTTGGGGCACATTTAAATATTCAATACAAAAGTAGCTGGATCTTCTTCTGTTTTTCTACATTAATTTACAGTTCATTCTTCATGATTTCTAATTCCTTTTCTCCCTCCTTTCTTTCTTTTATGATAATTGTATTAGTTTGCTTTCTATTGGTGTGATAAACACCATGACCAAAAGCAAATTGGGAAGAAAATGGTTTATTTCATCTTACAAATCCCTATTATAGTCCATCTCTGAGAGAAGTCAGGGCAGGAACTCAAAGCAGGAACCTGGAGGCAGGAACTGAAGCAGAGACTTTGGAGGAGTGCTCCTTAGTGTCTTGATTCCTTTGACCTGCCTTCTTATCCAGGACCATCTACCCAGAGCTGGCGCCTCCCACAGTGAGTTGGACCTGCCCACATCTATCACTTAAGAAAGTGCCCCACAGACTCAGCCAATCTGATGGAGATGTTTTCTCAGTTGAGGTTGCCTCTTCCAAAATAGGTTGTGTCGTGTGGACAAAAACTAACCAGCACAGCAGTATAGATGTTAAATGTATCTTTACTTTAGCAACTCACAAACATGTTTTAAAGCTAAGTGGGTTTTCATTGCTTATGGTAGAATTGCATATGTGTGAGAGGCTCTGTTACCTTCATCAACTTCACACTGAGCTTAGACGTAGTAAGTTTTTAGTAAATGTTTGTTAAGTTCATTAGTCCATGGCGTTCTACCTATTTCAATTCTAAAGTATTCATTGTGTCTTCTTTCTTGCTGTATACCAGTGATGACAGCCTTGGCCTCTAAATCTTGACCCCAGCTCAACTGTTTGTCACAAATATGGTGACTATCTTTCTTGAAGTCAATATACTGTATTTGTACATTTCAAACCATTTAGGTTCTCTAGATCTTGTTGTACTGAAACACACATCAATTGGCAGTCTTTTCCTTCTAAACACCTCTAGATTTTCCTAGACATTGAAGTATGCAATTCTAAGACAATAGCACATGGTTTTTGTTCATACCTGAACAACACACTGAAGTCTAATTGTGGCACAGAAAAGAAATCAAATTTTTGAAATATCCAATTTAATTAAACCAACATTACATTCAATTTTATATGTCCTATGTTATCGATACATTATAGTTTTGATATGAACTCTTCAATTCATGCAAACACTTGGTCCCCAATTGGTAGGATTGTTGTGGGAAGTGTTTGAAACTCTAGGAAGTCGGGTATAGCTGGAGAAAGCAGGTCACAAAAGGAATGGATCTGAAGGCCCACATCTTCATTTCTTACTTGCCTCTACTTCCTGTGGTCTTCATTTCTTACTTGCCTCTACTTCCAATGAGGTGAGCAGCCTACCCCTGTGATGTCCTGCATCACCAGAGGCACAGGAAAAATAGAAAAATGAGTGGAAACCTCTGAAACCATGGGCAAAAATAAACCTTTCTTAGTTGGGGTTTCTATTGCTGTGAAGAGACACCATGACCATGGCAACTCTTATAAAGGAAAACATTTAATGGGGTGGCTTATAGTTTCAGAGGTTCAGTCCATTATCATCATGGTGGGACATGGTGGCATGCAGGCAGACATGGTGCTGGAGAAGGAGCTGAGAGTTCTGCATCTTGATCAGCAGGCAGCAGGAAGTGAACTGAGTCACTCGTATGACTTGAGCATATAAGAGACTTCAAAGCCCTCCTCCACAGTGACATACTTCCTCTAACAAGACAGCACCTACTGCAACAGAGCCATGCCTCCTAACAGTGCCACTCCCTGTGAGCTTATGGAAGCCAATCACATTCAGACTCCCACACTTTCCTTCTTTTAGCTGTTCATGTCAGGCGTCTGGTCACAGCGATGGGAAGTCTGATGAGCACAGAAAAGTGATACTAGAGATGGAGGGTCAGTGTTGGGGCTAAACCTCATCATGTGACTTTGGCTCATAGGAATTAGTTTGTGGGAGGAGTTTGGAAAAGTGTGTAAGTTGGACTAGAGAAGCCATAAAATGTAAACTAATCATAATGATTATTCTGGAGGGATCTCAAAATGCTACCAGGAATACAGATAGTAAAGGCCATAGTCATGAGGCTCCAAGAGGAACATGGGTTCTACTGGGACCTGGATGAGATACTATTGTCTACTATTTTTTGTATCCTTAGACCTTGTGGAACAATGATGAACTGGGCTTGAGAGATAGCTCAGCTGTAAAGAGAACTTAATGCTCTTCTAGAGGGCCCGAGTTTGATTTCCAGCACCCATGTATAGTAACTCATAACCACCTCTAATTCCAGCTCCAAGGAGATCTGACGCCTCCAGCCTCCTCTGGCACCCTCACACACATGCACATACTTTTCTCCACACATACACATACAAAATTAAAGCTAAAATAAAAAAAAATATTATGGACTAATAAATCTGGTGTAGGAAGCAAAGTTACCCCAACATTTATGTGTGGTACAAGAATTGACAGATACAGTTAGCCAAATCTACAGTGATAATTGGGGGCAAATATGCAGATTAGAAAGATTAAAAACAAAAAACAAACTAGTAATTACAGAAAAGCCTGGGGAAATTTGGAGTTCAGGAAGTCATGATCGCTGAAGAGAATACAGCATGAAAATAATGTCAATTACTTTGCACTGGGGCCAAAGAATGATGTTGCAAGGACACCCCAAGGGTTGGCAAGACCCCACACATCTAGGCTAGCATATGAAAACCAAAGAGAAGAGAACACTTGTGGGCATATCCGGGTGCCACAGGATTCATTTTACCATACTCAGTTACCAAGGTACTCAGGGGCCAATGTGACAGTAGTCCAGTGGGGCCTAGTTGTTTGGTAAAGCTAGTGGCAGACCTTGGTGTCATTTATGAGGTGCTTCTTTTTTCAGACATGCACAATGCAAGAGTTAAAGGTCATCTAGGCTGCAAAGATCTTTAAAGGAAGCAGCCCCCGGGGCAGGGAAGCCCAAGTTGCACTGGAGACCCAAGGGTGCTGGAGATACCAGGAATATGAAATGTCCTTTGACAAGCATAAGCAGTGAATAGAGTCAGCTTCAAATGAGTGTATGTGGGATGCAAACGGTAAGGCCTGTAGGCTGGTAGGAGCTCATATACCCTGGGTACTGGACATGGAGCTATAAAAGTTAATGTTTGCTCTGCTGGCTTTCAACCTTTCTTTGATAGTCTCTTATTCCTCCATTTTGGAAGGCGGATGTCTATTTTGTACCACTGTATCTTAAAGCTGAGCCTCTTTCTTGGTGATGTATAGAGGTTCACAGGTGTGAGTTGGCTTTGACTTTCAGAGGAGACTTTGGCTATGAACTTTTCAACACTGTTGGAACTGCTAGTTCTCTGGAGGTGGTTTAAATGGCTTTTGCATTCAGAGATGGCTATGAGCCTTAGGGGGCAGAGATGGAATGTTGGTCAGTCTCCAGCTTGGGGAGTGTGGCCTAGAAGAGAAGAGTCATTGGCTCGGGGGCGTGACTGTGAAGGCTAGATCTGATTCTTCATCCTTTCTCCATCTCTCTCTGACTCCTGTCCATCAAGTTGTGAGCTTCTCACATGCTTCATCGCCGTGGTGTTCTGTGTCATGATTGCCCTGGAAGCCGCAGGGCTAAGGACCATGGATCTTTGTAACTGTGAGCCAAAATCTTTGATCATGTAAGTTGTTTATGTGAGATATTTGTAACAGCAGCAGAAAGCCATGAGTATCTTCATCCTTCTGCTTCTGTTATGAAAATGAGAAGAGTTGAGAATAGAAATCAATTAAAAGAAAAAGGCAAACAAGTCAACAACTGTGTGTTGGTGAACTTGTATCTTTCAAGTGGGGAAAAGTAGAATTAAAAATAACACTAGGAAAAGTAACCATGGCAATATTATAATGCTGAATTCAGAGTGTTGAAATGACTATTGAGCTGTATTTCCAGGCAGACCACCTCCCTGCCAGATACTCAGGTAAGCTTATGGACTGCACAAGATTGGCCTGACCATAATTATGATTGCTGTTAACGTGTATTGTTCAGACACCAGCTTTCACACTTGAAGAATTCTGGAAGAGAGCTGGAAAGATGGCTCAGTGCTTCAGAACACTTACTGATCTTGCAAAGACCCTGGTTCAATTCTTAGTATCCATATCAGTGGGCTCACACTACTTATAACTTCAGTTTCCAGATTTTTGGAGTCTTATGGCCTCCACCTCCCCAGGCACTTACATATATGTAGTGCACACAAATTCAGGAAGGTACACAAATACACATACATAAAAAAATAAATCCCTTAAGGAAAGAAAAATCTTTAAAAAGAAAAAAATTGGTAATTCTGGAAGCTGAGCATGGTCAGACACATCTGTCATCCCTGCACTGGGAAGATGGAGGCAGTAGAGTTTAAGCTAAACTGCTCTACATAAGGAGTTCCAGCACAGTCAGGGATACTTAGTGAGACCCTGTCTTTAAAAAATAAACAAAAAACAAAATGGAAAAAAAAACTTCATAAAGAATTCTGGAAGTGTGGCAACATCATGACACAGATCGCTTACTTGTGAGTGAGTGTGGCTTTCTCTGAGATACTTGGGGACATGGCCCATAATGAGAGAGGGCTCCTTTGAACCCATACTGTATAATTCAGAATAGCTACAGAGAAAGACAAGTGAGGTTGTATAAAATTACTGTCAATTAAGCTTCAAATATTTGTTAGTCGACATATTTTATAAATCCCAAAGAGGATTTATACCTTATACTGATGTACAGAACAATATTTGTGAAAAATTTTCCAGAATACTTAAATCAAGCATGTGCCAGAAAATATGGGCTGAAGACATGGCCTAAATCTATCCAAGAAAGACCTTTTGAAGGTAAAGAGTCAATAATATTCATTTTGGTACTTGCAATTATTAATTTTTACATGTTTGAATAGACATCATGGATGAATTTTGTCTGTTTTAACTAAGACTACTTTGGATCGTATAACCCAACTAAAAGCCATCTCCGTTTACTTTGCAAGGAATGCAATGTTAATTCTGAGGCATTGATGTTTTACAATGCCTGATCAAGACAAAAAGGTGAAGACCTCAGAGAAATCAGCTGATAAAAAGCAGCAGGGGACAACCACCAGGTAACCGAGTGTTTTTGGTTATGCACTGGGGCAGCACTGTTGAGTGGGTTTAATGCTTCCTGGAAGCTGACTCCTGGGTTGCAGTGTTTACTCAAACACTGGGCCCTTTCTAGAGTTTGGAAAGAAATGGTTGACATGCATACCTTATCTTCAGAGGCAGGCTTCCAAGTGGTGGTGTCATCAAACTAATGTGACCTTGGCCTCCTGGATCCTTCTGTGGTTAACATTGTGTTGTTCTTTCTCCTAGGGACTATTCAGACCTTAAAAGACTTCGATGCCTTTTGAACGTTCAGTCAAGCAAACAGCAGGTAGTGTTTTCAAAGGATGCAGCATGGGACTAAAGACCACATGTTTCTGAAAGGGTCCATTTCCCATCCTGTGTACACTCCTTTTGCTCTGCCGTAGCTTTCCTCGCTTCCTCGGGCTGCGTCTCTCCCCGGGGCCAGGCTCTGCTGAGACTTGGCATCTGCAGCCTTTTCATTTTCTGCTTGTCACCATACATCTTAGCCAGCAGAGCTTGGATCCTCCAGTCTGTAACAGTGAGCTCTGTCAGCAGATGCCAGTGTTTACCTTTTGGAGCTTCAGGGAAATTTATTCTCCAAACACAGTTTACCACATCTTTGTCCTCTCTGTACCCTGCCATCCTTCTCTTTCATAGACAGTACCCCCTAATGCTTCTCACATTTCACCCCAACAATGGAAGGATGGGGTTTTGGCTATTTTTATGCTTTTATTAGTCAAGGAGGGAATGGCACTCCTGGTTTATATCTAAACTTGACGTTTTAGTCTTGCTTCTAGAAGACCTTGGGAAGTCACGAGAGTAGATGTTGTTGTCTGGGGGGGTGGGTGGGAAACAACCTAGCAGTCCTAAGAATGACAGCAGCAGACCCTCATGCACTGCTGCTGACTGGTCGGTCTTCTGCCTCCGAAGGTTGGTAATGCAGCTATGATGCTTTATCTTATATCATCCCAACCTACCAGAGAAACATGGCATTCTTATCTGTTTATTCTAGACAGTGACTTCCTCAAGATTTGGTGACATCTGAAGAGCAAACAGACAGTTCATGCTTAGGGATTCTTGCTACCCACAGGTGCCTTGGCTGCACTTTTACCCTTCTCAATATTTGCAACATCTGCTTTCACAGATGGAAAAGCTGAGGCACAGAGAAATGATTGTCTCAAGATACCAGTCTGGTCATGGAATCTAATTCTCTAACTAGACATCCCCAGCCTGTGCTGTGTACCCTAGCCACGGTGATGCCGTTCGATGAACTGGAAAATTAACTTAGAGTTTAAAATACTTGACCGAGTCCAATGTCCTTGAAGTAGCTTTTCTCTGTGAGCTCTTCCCTCTGTGTCATTCCTGCTACAAGGTCCCTGAGATTCCTCTTATCTGCATGTTCTAGAAGTTATTTACCTCTGGTCACTTGCAGCTGTCCCAGATCACATCCACTCTTCTTGGGGAGGAAGGAAATGACCCTGACCATGGTTTTGTCACAGGCCCATTTTCCCCAGCTCCGTACATCCCCCAGTGTGACCACAATATCCCAAGCTGCTATTGGCTTGCTTTCTCCTAGACTTCTATCTGTGAGTTCTGTCTTGTTTCTTAGGTCCAAATCAACTGCCCCTCCTTCACACATGGCTGCCTTCCTCACATGGAACTCCTTCTCCATGGTAGCCGTTTCCTCTCTTGGGGACTCTTTTAGTCTTATTTCCTGATAAGATCCATCCCCTCGTTGGCAATGTTGGTTTTGCTTCTGATCCACTGTTTTATCTTTTCTACAAGTTTGTGGTTGTTTCTCTTGAGTTGACCTGGGGCTTGGGACCTGGGTCACCATGTGCATGAACAGCCGCTGGCCTGGTGAAAGAAATGCCTACAGTGCCTCTGGATTTGGTTTGTGGCTTGACGCCTTCAGTGTTGACGTTTATGGTGGCTAGGTCTACTGTGCCTCCCTTTGCCACGCCCTGGCTGCTCCCTGGCACAGCTGATTAAAGTTAAGTTAATGATTTCTTTCTTTCTTTCTTTTTTTTTTTTTTTAGCCAATTTGGAATTCTCAATCATTTTTTTCTGACAAGTTCATATCTTTTTGCTAAATTTTTGTACACAAATAATGGATATTTAAATGTTGTAATTATTTAGAGAGCAGAGACCTGTAAGAGAGCATGCAATGACTAGCCTCACTTGGAGGAAAGTTCCTAAACCTCTCAAATTCTATGGCTCATTCTGGTGTGAAAGTTCCCTGCATCTGTCATCCTGGAAACAAGTTACTCTGAGCTTGTTCTCCTTTCCTGAAACAATGTGAGATATATATGTGAGACGGAGGATTCTAGGACAGCTCAGAAATTTCCTTGTGCCCTGCTTCTTTCAGGAAGAAGATAAGGAGCACCTAAAGATATACAGTGTGTGGAAAATTATCATAAATTAAAACCAGGGCCAAACTTAAGATGAAAAATAAGGGCTGGGAGAGTCAGAGCAAGAAGCCCCCTACAACATATGCAAGTAGGGACATGTTCCCTTCTCAGATTTTCAGTGGTCCATTTGAGGAGGGATATTTGTGAGTCAGGCCCACTTACCAGAATTCCGCTGATGTGGCCTTTTAAAAAAAAAATTGTATTTTGTTTACAAATGGACTGTGATAACCAGTTACTAGAAATTCTAGGGGGAAAAATGTCCCCTGTGATTTGGGCAGAGTTGCTGAGAAGAGAATGTCCTTCTATGATTCTTCATGGAGCCAGGCTCCCTATTGGTGAGTTGTACTGTGGTACTTTGCTCACTGTCCTGACTGCCTGTGCAGATCTGTCACATCAGAGCTGGTCTTCTGTGGGACAGACCTTGGACTACGACCACTATCTCTACTTTCTGCCATGACAAGCCCTGGGCACTAACTTTGAAGAATGTTTTTCAAGCCCATGTAATGGCTTCAAGCTCCTTCTGCTCTGTACTGCAAACCCCTTGGTCACTACATATCCGTGACTTCTCACCATATCTGGTATGCCATGTGTCTTCAGCAGGTGTGGGGATGGGTGAACTTACTGAAGAGCTGCCTGGGGACAAAGCGGCCGTTCATTCAGTAGCTTCGCACTTGAATAGCTGTTATCTGTTGGTTTTGTGTGATGTACTAAGAACATAAGAACCGGTATCTATGACTATCTTCAGGGTGACTGAACTCAGGGAGGTGGCAGATGTGTAGACCAGGCAGGACACTTGACTGTGGTGAGTGCAGTGAGCATGGGCCACTCCATTAGGAAGGCCTGAGCCGTCTATAACCTGTGCCCTGGCCTGGAACCAAGAGCTCTGGGTTCATCTGACACAGTGGATCTGGGGCACGGGGTAGCGGGTGGCAGGCGTAGGGAAATTGCTGTGGTTTCTGAACTAATGTTGCTTTTTCATCTGAAGGAGCTGATTGTATCAAAGTTCTTATTATCAAGTACCTGGGCTTTGCAAATAGAGCTTTCCAAGTACAACTAGTGACTCTCTGAGTTGATTCTTAGCACCGGCAGCCTGACAGTCTGTGGCGGGGGCTGGGGACTGGGGTGAGAGCTATATCCTCTTTTTCCTTCAAGTGGCTTAGACACGTTTCCTCTGTGCTTGTTACCTTCTTTCTTGCAGGCAGGATTCTAGGAGTTTTGTCAATTACATAGGGCTTTGGAATTCCTTAGGCCTAGAAAACCTACTTCCTAGTGTGTGTGTGTGTGTGTGTGTGTGTGTGTGTGTGTGTGTGTGTGTGTGATGACAGCTCAGTTCCTGTCTATCAGAAAAATGAACTTGTTGCTGTGACTTTATATCTAATGTTTTTTAGGTTATAAGCCCACATTTGGAAATCACCTAATTCATAACGACAAACTTATTTACTTAGCAAATTTATGGTAGTGGTTACAAGGTTTATAAGAGTGTTTATAAAACTGTTAGATCTGTGCCTGCGCATAGCAAGTACTGTGTAAACAGTAACTCGCTTAGCTCTCATAACACAGAGTTACACATTGCTATTATTCCTTCTATTTTAATGACATGGAAACCAGCATACACAGAGATTAAATAAATCCTCCAAGGTCACACTGTTAACTGATGGTGGATTCAAACCCACAGAACCTGATAGGGAGTGTGGTTTTATCACTAAACTTTGCTTGTTCAAGTTCTTTTGGCCCCTTGCTCACAAGGGGGCCTAGATTGGGTGCTGGAACTGATATACAAAGGTCATTTTTATAGAACGGATTGTTTACTGTCACTGTTTTGAAAATTCAGCTGAAGTTAGATGATAGGAAGCATCTTGGGGTAGCTACTAACCAGTAACACTGTCATAAAGCATTTTCTTATCTACAGTCTTATAGGAAGTAAGGAAAATCACCTTAACATAAGGAAATTGTGGTCGATTTCTGTACTCTAGCTTCTACAGTTCTGATTGTGCACAATGAAATAATTTATTGAAAAATGGATTCCTTATTATGCTTTGCTTGCTTTATGTTTAATAATTGATTGTAGGACATATTTCATTCAGACTTTGGAAAAGATGGGGCATTTTTTTTTTCATGTTATACTCAATTTCATATGGAACCAAAACCATATCTCAGGGTGGTCTCAACCGTAGTGACTAGTGGTGTGTGAATCTTGCTGACATGTAGAACTGGCGGGTAGGCTTCTAAACATGTATTTCATTGTGGTAAACTCGACATTTAAATCAGTGTCTAAGTATCATTGTTCAAACTGAGCAACAGTGATGGGTTCTTGCCTGTGCCTGTGTGCTAAGCCCGTGGTGAACAGTGTGTACACTGGTGAATGCAGGCAGAGAAACACTCTTCCATGCAGTGTGTGCTATCTGGATGCAGACACTCTCCAGCTGCATATCTGCAGCACACAAGACACTTCAGAAATCTCTACTGGACAGGCTCACCCCAGATCTGTATCCCTAGCACTGGTTTAAGTGCCCAGGAAATATCACTGAACAAAAACATACATGTCAAAAAATACTCGTGTCAACGTGAGACAGACTGAGCTTACATAACAGTGAGCTATGGCACGTGGCATCGTTAGTGATGGGAAGGGCCCATGCTAGGGAGTAAACGTTTAAGTTAAAGATGTTTAAATCTTGGGAACCCCTTTCCCATTTACAAGGCTGTCGTCTCAGTTATTGGTCTAATGGGAAAACCCTCATTCCTTTGGCTCTCCCCTCCACCTCCCCCATTCTGTGACTTGTTTTATCATGTGCTGAATGAACCATGAAGGCCATGAACTCTTTGTTTCCATTTCTGTAGCTTCCAGCCATTAACTTTGATAGTGCCCAAAACAACATGACGAAGTCTGAGACTGCCATCAAGGCAGGGGGACACAGAGCTCGTGGTCAGTGGCAGGAGTCCACAGAAGCAGTTGAACTTGAAAATTTTAGGTAAGAAATCTCCCTTGCTGTCAGAACCTATTCAGGTTTACTTATTTAAATGTATCACAGAAGTGAAAATTTAAAGTCTGAATATTCTTAGTTTAGTAATCTTAGTTAACATGGAAAGTGTTCCCAGGGGAGGAAAAAAGCCCAAGTAACAGGCTGACTAGGCAAACATAGGTGGACCTGTCCTGGGAGGCCTGGACATCTTGCGGACACGAAGATCAACAGTTGTCCACCGAGGAAGTAGCTCCAAGATGCTGACGTGGGTAGGTGCATCCCAAGCATGGTCTTAGCTTTTGTTGTGTTTCCCTATTTCTGGTAATAAAAAGGCATAAAAGAACCTGTTGCTGTGAACAGATATGGTGGCTAAAGAAGATGTTAGTTGGGCTGGCAATATGGCTCAGTGGGTAAAGGGGATTGCCAGCAAACTTTACAGTCTGAGTTCAGTCCCTGGAACCCGTGTGGAAGGAGAGAACTGATTTCTGTTCTACACACACACACACACACACACACACACACACACACACACACACACATATACAGACACATACACACACACACATAGACACATGTATACACATATACACACAGACACATAGAGAAATGTAATAAAATTTTTTTGAAGATAATAGTTTAAAAATCTGAGTTTCTCAATTGCAAAGACAGGGTCTTGGCTTAACCAAAGAGAGTTAGTCTATGTTTCTTTGTGTTGCTGTGTAGACCTTCTAGAAGCATGCATTCCTGTGGGCCACTACCTTTCTGTGTTACAGTGTGTACAGTGTGTTCGTGTAGTTTGCTCTGAAGTATCAGCATGGATGTTCCGGGAGGATCTTTTACTTGTTTGGTTTAGCTTGTTTCTCCGACATTTTATGATCTTGAACAGTTTCAGAAAAGTCATATGAAAGTGGTGTTCACGTAATTTTATTCTTTTTGGCCTTAATGTTAAAATTAGCCGTTTTTTTTTTTTTTTTGGTTTTTCGAGACAGGGTTTCTCTGTGTAGCTTTGCAAAATTAGCCGTTTTTAATGCTTATTTAGTGTACATTTGTGCATGCGTGCGTGTGTGTAGGAAAACTTTGGGGAGCTGGTTCTTTTCTTCCACCATCTGAGTTTCTGAAATTGAACTGGAGTCCTCAGGGTTGGTGGCCAAGCACCCTTACCCAGTGAACTAGCTCCTCAGCCTCCAGTTTTATTATGCACGATGAAAATATCCTGTCACGGTAGCAGTTTGGCCCGTTTGTGTAATATCTTGTACTCTCCAAGGTTTAAAGTAGAATGTTTTGGGAATATTTTAAATCTATCTGTTGGGCTGTAATATCAATACAAGAGACTGCATTTGGAATATGAAAATTTTCTTAAACATATATACAAAACAGATAACAATATAACAGGTGCTGGTCGAAGAAATGTAAACTGTCAGTAAATCCACATTAAGTACAAATGACATCTGCTGAAATACATATGACATTTGCTGGTGTTTCCAGCTGGGACAGCCAATGGAGGGTGGCAGTGTGGGTGGATCTGAGTCTGAAGCTTCCCTTGTGTGAAGGACAGCTGCACAGAGGGAAGCCCTGGAGCCGTTCCTCTCCCTTCTCTTCCTTCAGTTTGAGCTGGAGGTGCCTGGGGGAGAATTGAATTAATATGGTAAAATGAAACATAAGTGTTGGAATGCAATTTTTGAATTAAAATGTATTATTATTGTGTGTGAATGCATAGTGTGCGTGCGTGTGTGTGTGTGTGTATGTGATCTCATATGCCACAGTGTGGAACTCGTGGAGTTCAGAAGACAGCTTTGTGGAGTGACTTCTCTCCTTCTACTTGTATGCAGGTCCAGGGGCAGAGCCGAGGTCTCCCGACTTGCTCAGCAAGCTCCTTCACTAGCTGAGCCACGAGCTCTTGAGCGTCATCTTTATAATCAGCTTCACCATTGAGTTCCTATGTAACAGTTGTTGCTTGCCCTTGCTAATATGTTGACCTTGAGACTCTCAATGTAGATGACCCTTGTTTTCACCGGTAACTTTGTTAACCCCAATGGTGTTTATTATAAATCATTTTCCTGTTTTGTTTTTTTTATCTTAGTATAAACTACAAGAATGAGAGGAATTTCAGTAAACATCCACAGCATCAGTTATTTCAGGAGATCTTTACATCTCTGGTGAGAAATAGACTCATATGCAGGTAAGACTGTGCCTCCAAGAGAGACCTCTACCCAAGAAAGGTATGTTCCATGGATCCTGTATGGAGAATGTGCTTCAAAGCAGACTGTGAGGGAGCACAGTGCAACTGTAGCACTTAGGAATATATGTATATACACACATATATATATGCCATAAATGCACATATATATTCAGATTTATGGCTTATTTATTTTTCTTTAATTGTTATTACATATATGTGTGTTTGTATATAACACATATGCACATACAAACACATAATAACAACTAAAGAAAAAGAAGTCATAAATTTGAAAGAGAGCAGGGATGAGGTGGGTTGGGTGGTAGGTACATGGGAAGGTTTTAGAGGGAGGAAATGGAAGGTGGAAATAATGTAATTATTTTATATTCTCAAAAATTGAAAGAAATTATTAAATGTATGTATAAAAAAGAGAAAAGCTATGGAATGGGGATGGAAGAGCTGGCACTCTGTCCACTAGAATCACTTGTTGGATTCTGGATTTAGCGGAATCTGGTGACAGCTGAGATGTGGGGGAGCATTGTGTTCTTTAATGTGCTTGGTTTGAGTGTGGATACTCAAGGAAGATTTATCATGTAGTCCTTATGAAAAAGCCATCGATTAACACTGGGGACAACATGACAATACCCTTTGTGTTACACCTTTGCAGTTGACACAGTGACCAGCCCAGACTTTGAAGAAAGAAAGAGTGAGCATGTACCTCCAGCCCAAGCCCTATGTCCTGCTATGGGTGATTGATGGGCAATCTTAGGCTATACACCAAAGGGCCAGGTCATCTTAGGTGCTACAAATTTCAGAGTTGGGTAAGGGTGGATTAAGTGGTAAGGTCCCCATTGTCCTAACCTCATATAATTTTGTTTGGATGCCAAGGCTTCCTCCTCCCCTTTCCTTATATCGTTAGAACAATTACATCTCAGAACTCTTTTGGTGTGACTTCCTTGCCTCTTCCTTTGTGAACATCAGGGTTAATGTTGGATTAAAAGGCATAGATTCAACTTACTTAAATTGGTGAGTGTAGATGAATTTCTAAACGGTCTTATTAAATAAGAAACGCAGAGCCAAATGTAGGGGTAAAAGCCTTAGAGATCAGGGAAATAGTGATTACCACCAACCTTACCTCTCCAGCTCTGCAGGTACCAAAAGGGCCTCCTTCCTGTCTAACCTGTGCCTTTATTGCCTTGCTGTTCTGCCCTCTCATTGGCTCTTAGCCCAGCTACCTCACTTCCTTGTCACTATTTGTCTGTACAGACCTCCAGGTCTCTATGGTTGGTACTGGGATTAAAGGCATGTGTCACCATGCTTGGCTGTTCCCTAGTGTGTCCTTGAACACACAGAGACCCTGACTGCCAAGTGATCAGATTAAGGGCGTGTGCTATCACTACTTGACTTTTATGTTAATGGCTTGCTATTTCCTCTGATCTCCAGGCAAACTTTATTTATTAACATACAAATAAAATACCACCACAGGATACTTTTTGCCAAGAGGGGATGAGGCAACCCAAGAGAAGGAAGATAAGATAAAATACCAAGGTGAATGCTGTGTGGTCCTTCTTTTCCTCAGCAAAAACAATTACCCATATTCTAACTCAAGAGGAAACATAAATATTTACAGTCAGACAACTAAAGACTGGATGAGATTGGTAGGTGGGAGCTTTAGACATTGGCCCAATTCTGGGTGTGAACGAGACTACACATATTTGAATATCAGTTTCACCCTGAAAGCATAATGATCAGGAACTGGGCTTGAGTGGAGCATGGCTCCTGCCCTTCCCCTCTTTTCTGCCCGTCACCAGTGTGGCTTCCCCGCTTCCACACTCCTCAGTTGTCTTCTCTTTCAATCCACGTGCTCAGACACCTCCTCCTGCATTCTTCTAAGCCTGACCTGCGATTAGTCCCTGTTCTGCAACTAAACCTGTTTGTCCAGAGTCAGCTGGGGCAAGCCTGCAAGTCTTTCAGAGGAGTCCTGAAAGGAAGTACTGCCTGGACCTGAGGCAGGCTGCCTTGGATGTATATCCACATGCACGGAAATCCCTTACCTTCCACTCTTTTTCTGCTCTAACATGATTTACCTGTAGTAGAGTGTGATATTAGGAATAAATTCCTCTCATCTGCCTGGTCTCCACGACCAAGTTGTCATGAGGTTGTGCAGGGAATAACAGTTGTCACAACACTGGCAGATTCTTGACTGCCATTGCTCTTCTGTGGGCCTGCTTCCAGTTGGTTTGTGTTTCTCTGATATATAGCTTCTATATTATAATGTGGTATAATCAGCTCGTGAAGTGAACTTGCCCATGGGATTGGAGATGCAGGATTTCATGAAGTTAGTGAAACTGGATTTAAACTGGTGGAATTTGATGCACAAGGCTGTGGCAGGATTGGGACACTGATATCTGAAGATGACAATAGGGGCTACAAGAGTTGGATTTGGAATATTAAAGATTGAGGAGACTGGGGGAAATGACATGTCACTCTAATGTATTTACAAAAAGGAATCTCATTATGTTCTAAAAGCCAAAAGTGAGTTAAAGGATGTCAGGTCATATAATATGACAATTTTAATAAATATAATATGAAATTTTGTCAAAACTATCAGAATGCATTCTATGTTTGGCATGGTTACTAAATTAGGTGTTATTTCAAAGTGAGCTTATTTAGCTGGCCTTTCCTGGTATCATTTATTCTAGAATAATGAGGACAGCTCCTCTTCCTTGCCTATGACTATGTGGAGATGAGCAGAACCAAGATACTCTGGTTTTAGTTAGAAGAGACCTGTCCAACTCATTTGATAGGACTGTCCAAAATATCCTTTACTTCCCCCAAGCACATAAGTTGTCATCCTTATTATTATCATTTTACATCAAATTTCCCTAAGTATTTGCCACAAACTTGAAACACTTCTAAAAAGAGACTGTAGCATATTTTTATGGAGATATGCTTATATACTAGAGAGAGTTTTGTGTGCTAGAATATATCTGGCCAACCCATGACCATCTTTTATTTTATTTTATTTATTTTTTTTTTTTTTGTTTTTTTCGAGACAGGGTTTTTCTGTGTAGCTTTGCGCCTTTCCTGGAGCTCACTTGGTAGCCCAGGCTGGCCTCGAACTCACAGAGATCCGCCTGCCTCTGCCTCCCAAGTGCTGGGATTAAAGGCGTGCGCCACCACGCCCGGCCCATCTTTTATTTTAATTTAAACTTTTAATGTTTGAGAATTTTATACATGGGTACTGTCTTTGCATCATTTCACCCCTCCATTTCACCAACTCTTTTTGTGTCCTCTTCTACAACCCTTTCAAGTCCATGACCTCTTCTTCTATGATTATTGTTACACACACACATGCACATGCACACACACATGTGCACACACACATACATACATGCACACACACGTGCACATGTACACACACACACACACATGTGCGCATGTGCACACACACACACACACACACACACACACACATACACTATACCCTTCTAGGCCCATTCACTGTTCCTCTTTTGCACACGTCTTTAGGGCTGATCTCTTGGGATTGGATAACCTCATCAGGGACTTTCCTCTTGCAAAGACTAACTCTCCCTCTCTTATTAGAAATTGACTTTTTAAACCATAAAGTTTATAAAACTAAAATAATAATCATAAAGAAATAGCTATAAAAAGTGTTCTGGGAATGCACTGGCTGTCCCTAGCCGAGAGTACTAATCCAGTACTTGGTTAGTAACAGGACTTGTGTTGTCCAAGCTGACACTGGGGCACAGCTCATGGTGCAAAGGGCACTTCTCTTGATCTCCCGGTCCTCTGCTTGGGCTGTGTAGGCTCCCCACGGAGTGGGAGGACCACTTGTCAGCATGCAGTGAGGGTCTCTTTACGGCTTAAGTCTTGAAACACACCGAGTTGACAGACAGATGCTCATGGTGTGGTCTTACCATCCTGGTCATGAAGTGCGGTCTGCAGCTAGTGCAGAACTTCGTCCCGGGTCTCAGGCTGTGGCTTTCTGTGCTTAACTCCCAGTTCTCCTCAAGAACTTCTGACTCCTTCTGGGCCTCTTTCATTTGCTCTGTGGTGCTGGTGACAAACCAGGACCGCACATGCTGAGTATGTGTCGTGTTGCTAAGTCACACTCCAGCTTGCTAGTCTCATCTGTTGATGCTGCCCCCTGCATCCCTGTGCTCAAGAGGGTCAGAGTGATGCTCCCATTCTTCTCTTTCTTCCCAGCTTCTGCTGTGCCCCTGGGGTACCTCAAGCACAGCATCCTGCTTCTCTGTGGGCCCAACTTGTTCTGACCCCTCATGTAACCTGTCCCAGTCCTTCTCATTCTCATGATCCTAGGCTCTCTTCTTCCTTAGTATGCACTAACTTTCTACAGACCAAAACCTGGTATTTTATCCCCAAACTTAGCCACTGAAGTTGTTTTTTATTGCCACTGTCATAGAAGAAATATGTAGCTCTTATTTTTCACTAAAGGGAATGGAACCCAAAGGCTTTATACAGGCTAGGCAAGTGCTCTATGACTGAGCTACATCCTCAGCCCTTGGTTTGCTGAGATCGGTCTTGCTGTGTACATGTAGCCCAGACTGGTCTCAAATTCATGATTCTCTGTCTTAGCCTTGCAAGTTACAGGTGTGCACCACTATACATAGCTTCCTTATGTTGGTAGTTCTCATATAATGTTAAAGTTTTCCCTACACTTTAAATGTGTGCACACACATACCTGATGATGCATGCATATTCACACACATGCATGAACATATGCACATGCAGGCATACACACACATGCATACAATTACACACACATACACACACATGTACACACACACATGAATACATGAATATACATGCACTCACATTCATGCACACACACATGCATAAAAGTCATAACAATTATGGAGATGGAGTGGACTCTAAGAAGGTCAAGCTGGTGCCATGGGTAGATGGGAGGGATGAGATTCGAAGAGGGTCTCAGCAGATCTGGGCTGGCACTCTTGTCC